CTGCACTTCAGCCGTAACGGGGGGCGCTCCGGGCCGTTCGGGAGCTCCAGGCCACTTTTCTTGATCATCCGATTCGCCCCGTCGCGGGTGGCGAACTCGACGAAGCCGTAGATCCAATTTTGTTTGCTCGTGGCGTTGCCGCAGATCCGCACGCGGAGGTATTCCCCACACTCCCGACAAAGATCCGCCAACTCCCCTTGCCGCATTCCAGTCGGCAGGAAGCGGAGGTGAACCGTGCGCGCGAGGAGATCGGCATCATCCTCGCCTTCTTTATCCCCGATGGGCGCACGCTCCTCATGGCTGAGGGACTTAAACTCGTGGGAAAGGTCCTGCCTCCCGCGGTCGTGGCCCTGGTCGTTCTCGTTTGACGTCCAGTTGGGGTAGAAGAAGGCATCGTCGATCCGATCCGGCAGGGAGGGTTGCTTGCCTGGGGAGATTGAAATCGCATTAGGGTTGGTCGGGAAAAGCCCGGTCGGGCGGGATGCGGATCTCTCGTAACGCTTGGAAGGGGTGAAACGGGTGGTGCCGGTGAAGGGCAACGTCGTCGTCCCTGCCATCTGAGGCGACGTACTAAACACAGACATCATGTTTTGCTCACTGTATGGTTGCTTGTCGTCGCTTCGGAGGTATTGCAACGCCTAGATAGTGAACGTTGAAAAACTGTGCGTGTGCGTCTGCGTGTGTGTAAAAAATTATCTGTGAGAGATTCAATAGTGTATAAATATGTCTTAATATTGTAAATACAATTTTTTGGGGGGAGTGAACAACTAGTCAAATATTATGCCTTTCGCAGCGTGAATCTATTTTCTTCCGAATTGAAAAGGACAAAAGCAAACTCTACACCTTTTGATGGCTTATAAACCTTCGTTACTGGATTTTCCTATATGTTAGTTTATCACAATGAGTGACGAAAACGAAGAAAGAATATTTTTTAAGTGAAAAGTTAAACTCCTCCTATTAATATATGGTTGTTCCTATTCAGCTATTTATTAAATCAATGTGATTTTTCCGATACAAAGGTATTGTTATATTCTCGATGGACTGGGAAATCCTGATTTGTGAAGGCTCAAACACTAAATACTTCGCTGATCTTATCCTTTTCAACCCTTTCTCTTTATGATGCAGCAAAATGAAAAGTGAATAAGATAAAGTAAAGCTATGAAACCAGAAAAATACTCCTAAAATGCTAAGCTATTGTGATATGTATATATGTGTGTGTCTGTGAAAACAAAAAGAACGGCTAGATTTATACGTGGATAGTTAAATTTGCGAACTTTCCTCCTAAATATTTTTTCCTACACGGCGTTTCCTTCGGTTGACTTGTATATGTGCAGTAACAAATAGATGAAGCTCACTCAGACCTCTTCTACAAACCCTTTAGAATGGGCAAAACAAAAAAAAAAGTAACAGTGCCGGAGTTGTGTATGTGTATAGTATAGAAGGGGCAGTTTACAAAAATCCAATAGTGAATATCGGCGCTTTCCCTCGTTATTTGTGGAAAGATAAAGGTAACTGAGTGTTTATGTATACACTGTACTAAATGCTACTCAAAAGTAGATCTAGCAAAGTAAAAAAAATAAAAAAATGAGAATAAAGTCCTCGTTGCCTAGTAAAAAAATTCTATTTTGTCGTTGTACACCTCAAAGAAGAAACCACCAATCTTCCAAAGGTCCTAAAACTATCACTCTGCGTCAATCAATAAAAAATAGAGGGAGAATTAAAAACGAGGAAGTAGTTGAAGTAGTATTCTTTATTTTTCTTTTTATCGACTTTGTGTGTGATACTTGAAAATATCTCGATTTTATATTGTTAAATTGAAAAGAAAACAAAAAATAAAAACATTAAAAGGATCAAAGAGCAACTTGTATATCTATAATATATACAAGTAAAGAGCAAGGTAATGAAATAGAGAATTAGTGATGTCTTTCGAAATTTGTGCTCACTTTCGATGGGTCGTCCTTGTGAAATAAATCTTGTAAAATCAAGGTTTAGATAAAAGAGCTAGAAGGAAATTGAGGATGAAATTAAGAAGAAAGACATGCGATAGGCGAACAATCCGCATAATACGACGAATCCAATCATGAATACCGCACGTTTAGAACCTTAAGTGCAACGATACAGATATACTTTTTTCCAAAAACACATTCCGAGCTCGACTCGGTAGGCATAAATAAAGAAATAAATCAAAATGAACTCCGCTACTAAGGGCTACCTACACAGTTTATTACCCCTTTCCCTAAACTAGCCTGTATCGCAGCCCCCCTTCTTCTTCGAACCCACTGCGCTGATCCCCTTCTAAGTGGTGGTGGTGGTGGTGATATGCTTACTATCATCCCGATGCGTGCCTTCATCTTCTTTCAAGTGCACATTTTTATCGTTTTTCCCACCTCCAAAGCCACTCAGGGCGAGCGCCGCCGCCATGTCGTTCTCGCGCACGTGCAGTGGGAGGAATCCATACCGGTAGAGCGTGTACGAGACGGAATAACACTTCGGGAAGAGAAGTGTGAGCTCATCCATCGCCTCGATCGCCTCACTTGCGCGCACGACGAGGTGGGGAATGGCGTTTTCACCCCCCTTTTCGGTTCTTCCGCTCTCAGAAAGCATCTCGACCGCAAAGGTCGTGTTAGCGTGGCCGCCCGGGGCGTGTTGCAGCATATCAAAGAGCGGAACGATCGTCGCCGCGGCGGCAGGATCAACATCGTTCACACGGAGACGATCCTCGTCGACGGCGCGCAGGAGGTGGCGGTAAAACGCCCACTTTGCGCGCATCACCACGCGACCGAAACGCCCGAGCCTCACTCCGCCATCCCCCTCGCCTTCCTCAACCACAGAAGAAGACGAAGAAAGGGAGGAGCCATCGGGCTCTTCCATGGGTGGCTGTTGCAGTGCGAGCGGCAACACGCGCTGCCTGGAAAGAACCACTCGGAATGCCCAAATGATATCCGCCAACGCCGGCGGAGACTCCAACAACGAAGTCAACGAGGAATCGGTAAAAGACGACGCCACAAGGGCGCTACGCATCGCCCCTTCTTCTTCCTCCTCCTTCCCCCCCCTTACCATACGTGTGTGGAGTTCCGTAGAAGGAGAAGCCGTGGGGCTCATCGCGACATCCGTTCCGTTGATCAAATGATCCAGCGGGGGGTGCGGCGGATGCTTCGCCATGGACTCTTCCGAGAGCAGCGCTACCGGGGAGCTGAAACCAACCGGCGCGGCCCTTTTTGCGGGATCCTCCGAGGTCGTCGTCTCGACCTCCCCGCGGGCCGCATGATAGCGCCGCCACCACTCCTTATGGAGCTCCCGGAGGAAATGGGTAAAGCGATTGCAATGATCGGTGTATTCCAGATGCGCGTGCGGATCCAACACGCCGAGATGCAACTCGCGGATGTTATCGTCGTCAAAGTGAGGGGTCTCCGAATCATCTAAGAGGTGGAGGTAATCGTACAGCGGGCTCCGCGCGCCGTCGGCCTTTTCACACGCCAAGTACAACGCGAGGTGAACTTGTTGAATAAAAAGCGAATGAGGGGTGGGATCGAACGAGGGGGCGCGGCGAACAAGAAGGATCTTCCGCACGATATGCAACGGCAGCACCCCACGTCGCCTCGCCGCGGCGGAATGCGCGCGAAGGGTTGGTAGATTGAGCGCAAACCCACTCCACGGCCGCTCCGAGAGCCCCGTTTTGGCATCCCCCCCGCCCTCCCAGGTGGTGAGAGGAATCGACAAAATCACCTCGTCGGCCTGAAAATCACGTCGGGCGTAGAGCCCCCGTCGAAACGCTCGCCGAGGATGCACGACGACATGCTCGCGGAGCTGGGTGCGAAGCGGGTGGTCGGCGGGAACCCCCCCCCTTCCGCCCTCGTTCGGATCCTCCGCTTCTCCGAGCATCCAATGGATAAACCGATGGACGACCTCGGCCTTAAGAAAGCCCTCAGAGGTCTGGGAAATCCAATTCGCCGCGCGCAGCCGCTGCCGGCCGAGCGCAGGGGAGGTGAGGCTCGACGCCCACATCGGCAATCGCGGCTTGGGTGTGTTGTTCGGCACCCCCGTGTGGACGAAATAATCCCGCCCGATGTGCGCCTCCGGCGAGGGAAGGAAGGAAAATTTCGGCCGACGGGGTCGTTTGGGGGGCCGCAACGGAACTTCCGCTTTCTTCGCGAGCGAAAGCGCCGTTTCCCCGTGTTTTCCGCCCGCCTCGGCGAGGTCGAGGAGGCGCGCCCGACGCGCCCGACCCCTCGCGCGGAGGTGGGAGCGCTGGAAGTACGCGGCGTCGAGATGTGGGCGACGAGGAGGGAGGGAAGGGGGGGAATCGCGATCAAAATTGGAAAGAGGGGGGGAGGCCCCGCCAGGGTGGAGCGAGGACGCGTTTGACCGCACCACGACACCTTGGAGGCTTCGAACCCCCCGAAGGGGAGCAGAAAAACGCCTCATCGGCGACTTCCTTTTCGTGGTCAGAGAGAGGTGGGATCACTGGGGGATCGGCTCGCTCCTTTATATGCAAAATATTGCTATGGACCCATGCGAGGTTCCAAGAAAAGGCAAAACCAAAAAAAGACAGGATGTTAAAGGCCAAAAGCCTCAGAAATGTTAAACCCAGACGCGGACGTCTTGTTGAGATCAGTTCTCCGCATATACGGAATCACAAGGAGTGGTATCAGAAGTATGGAACTCGAACATATGGTGAAAAATGTGTCTGTCTAGAAGCTAGATCCACATGGGAAAAGCTCCATGTATACATCGATAGATGCTAGGATATAAAGATGTGTAAGAGTTTAACTTGAATTCTCACAAAAAAGAATGGATACTTTGTTTTTTTTCTTTTATAAACCTTTTTAACGCATGCAGTTTGGCATATAAATCCGCTTTCGAGGGTGCTTTCAACCTCTCATACGTGTGGAGGAGCATGTTAAAAATAAATAAATAGTGTAAATGCCAATTTTACCAGCATTCCCTCCCTTTTTTTTTAGAATTTCCATGACTAAAATAAGTAATCCGCGCAGAGTTCCTCTTCCACTCCATCGGCGTGGCGAACTCTGAGATGGCCCCATTCGTTAAGAGAGACCGCCGTGAGCTCTTCCTCGTCGCGCCCGCCGGGGATGCGCTTGTGGAGCTTCAGACTTCGATCCATGACTTTGCTAAACTCCTCCACCACCTTTTTGCGTGTCATAGACGAATCGGTGAGGATCTCGAACAAACACACCCAGATCATTTTCGCAAGCTCCGGTGGGGTAGTATTCTGGATGCATAAATTTTCGGCCAGACACTTGAGAGAAGTTGCCTCGCGGCCTGAGTCCATGACGGTTGGGGCTACTTCAACATTGATGCCAATCCCAATGACGCAGTAGTTTCCTGAGCTCTCAACCAGCGTCCCACCGAGCTTTTTATGATCGTAAATGATGTCGTTCGGCCACTTAACCCCAATGCGTTCCGGCGACAGGCCTGGTAAAAGCGCCAAGATCGCCTTCCGGCATGCGATACCGCAGATTAAAGGCAGCACTATTATTAAACCGTTGCTCAGGTATTTCGGGTTATCTTGTGGGATACAAAGGGTGAAGTAAAGGTTCCCCTTGGGCGAAATCCACACGCGTCCGGACGTGCCACGACCCATGCGCTGAGATTCAGCGACGATACCAAAAGGTTTGTCGGCATAAGCCTCAAATCGCTCCTTTACCACCTCCATTGTAGTGTCAACCTCGCCAAGAAACTCAATGCAAGGCTCAATTTCGCTCATTTTTGGCACTTAAAAAAAATTAATATTATTATGTGTGTAGACCTATTAGCTTGCTTTAACATATTAAATTATGAGGCATACAATTGAGGAATGCAATGCGTTTTGTTAAAGTGATTTCATCATAAGGGAAAAGGAATGACTCATACACATTACTTGACAAACAAACCCATTTGTATAGGCCTACGCACATCCAGAATTTTACCGCGCTTTCGCAACGATACTTTCATCGCCACAGATAAATACCACAAAAAAGGGAAAAAATAAATCCGCAATGATAGCATCAATCAACGAAAGTAGTGTACTGCGAGGATATAAAATCAACATTATACACTCACCCCTTTGCTTTTTCTCTCTCCCTTGAATTGATCTATACAATACAGCCTCATAATAAGCATTAATAAAGTCCTTGACAATCTATGCAGTGTTACAAATTAATGAGACCATTACTTTAGTTTACTTGCTTAAGCTTATTTGCATTAAAGAAATCCGTCCCCCTCCTTATCACCTATGCTATGAGACCCCATATTATGTAATTACATGCTCCAAGGTTACTGAAATATTTTATCACCCAAATCCTTTTTCGTTCCGCAATGTGTCTATGAAGTGTTTCAGTACCGCCTATTGGTCGCACGACGTTTCTTTGTTCCTAGGATTTGAGACCCGTTAGCGCCACCATCCAACCCCGAAGAGGCACCGCCACCGCTGCCAAAGGGGGTGGTGTTGTTCATAGGTTGGGCGAAGGACGGCACCATCGTGCTAGGAGCCGCCGGTGTAAACCCACCACTTATCCCACTCCCCGTCGCATTCGAAGCCGGCGCACCAAACGGGGTATTCGCGACCGCAGTGGATCCGAACGTCGATGAGGCCCCCGCACCGGCGCTGGGGTTGCCTCCAAACGAAAACGGTGAAGGGATACCGAGGGGTTTCGTGCCCGCCACGCCCCCAACCGTCCCCGACGGCGGCAGGTTCGAGGCGAAGGGTGAGGCAGCGGCCGGGGGCGCGGGGGCGGCACTGCCCGTAGGGGGCTCCCCAAACCCAAACGACAGGG